ATCTATCTATCTATCTATCTATCTATCTATCTATCTATCTATCTATCATCTATCATCTATCTATATTCCAAATTACCTATCTGTATCTGAGAATAGATGTTATTTTAACCCACAAAGCATTGAGCATTCAGACATCAGGCTAAAATTATCTTGGGTTTGATGGGTTTGATTGCTTTAATAGCTTTTCTTCAGGGCAGAAAACACAGAAGATGTTCTTCAAATAAAAACATGCTCACTGAACATAGCAAAAGAGAAACAGCTGCACAGAAGGGGAAAAAGGAAAAAAGAAAGAAAAAAAACCCTACTGCAAGACTGGGCAAAAACACTGGCAGTGCTTGCCAAATTCCTCCTTCCTAATTGTCTTCAGGCATATTATTTGCAAGTCAAATAACATGGGTGGAAGGACTGGCAATGAACGCAGTTGCAGTAATATTTAAGGAAGTGCACAAAGCGATTTCTTAGTTGGCCTCGTCTGGCAAGAGAGATGGAACAACTGAATCCGCAGAGCGTTCTGGTGACCGGTTCCAATCGAGGACTTGGCTTGGAGCTGGTCAGGCAGCTGGCAAAAAGGAGCAACCCTCCAAAATGGATCTTTGCAACTTGCCGGGACCCGGCTGGACCCCGTGCTCAGGTGAGGCCTGGAGTACCTTTATCTTTATGTGGGAAGAACAAAGATTTTTTTTTTTTCTGTAATGGAAATTCGCTTATCTCCTAGGTAGTAATGGTGCAGGCATGATTAGACACGAGAGAGAGAGAGAGAGAGAGAGAGAGAGAGAGAGAGAGAGAGAGAGAGATTTGTAAATCTTAAGAGCCCGTGTGGAATTTCATCACATTTTGTTTTTAATTGTTATCCTGTTTCAAATAACCCACTTGCAAAATGTGCTGCTCTGGGCTAAGGACCTTTTGTTCAGGGGCAACTTAGAAAGCTCCTGCTATCCCTGCCCTCCCTGTAAAACTCTTGTAGTTCTTTTCAGTTCTTCACTCCGTTCTGAGCCTTTGCGACACAATGGGCACTGTTTATCAGAACTGCCTCTCATGAAGGCAATTCTGGAAACAATTAGTGGAAACATATTTGCCATAGTTAGCTATAAAGGAACTAAGTTTGTGGTTTTTTTTCCTTTCAGGACCTGAAGAATTTGGCTGCTGAACACCCACAGATTATCATCATGGCATTGGGTATGTGGTTCTGCAAATCCTTTGGTTCTTCTTTAGCTAAGAGGGAAAATAACTGAAATTTAGCAACACAGTAGATCAAGGAAGCAATATTTCCATACACCCACATCAGAACAGGTAAACATTGCCTTGCATTACAATTGGTAGTTTATACAGTTTAGGCAGAATTCCAAAAAGGGATTCCAAAAACAGCTCGATCTGCTACCAGAAACCTGCATTCTCCTGGGCGTATGCATTGGAAGATCAGTATCCAAGCAGTAACTTATGACTTTCTCATTTCTGTCAAATTTATATATGGTATTGGCAGCAAATTTGGGGGTATTGTTGGGAGGAACTGTCACACAAAGCTCGGCGGTGAGTTTTGTTGTTGTTGTTGTTGTTGTTGTTGTTAGTTGCGAAGTCGTGTCTGACCCATCATGACCCCATGGACAACATTCCTCCAAGCCTTCCTATCCTCTACCATCTTCTGGAGTCCATTTAAGCTCACGTCAACTGCTTCAGTGACTCCATCCAGCCCCCTTGTTCTCTGTCCTCCCCTTCTTCTTCTATTGCCCTGAATCTTTCCCAGCATTAGTGCAAATAGTGTTTTCTTCTTCAGGGAGTCCTTCCTTCTCATGAGGTGGCCGAAGTCTTTGAGTTTCATCTTCAGAATCTGGCCTTCTGAAGAGCAGTCAGGGTTGATCTCCTCTAGGACTGACCGGTTGGATCGCCTTACAGTCCAAGGGACTCGCTGGAGTCTTCTCCAGCACCAGAGTTCAAAGGCCTCAATTCTTTGGCGCTCAGCCTTCCTTGTGGTCCAACTGTCACAGCCAAACATTGCAACTGGAAAAACCATAGCCTTGACTATATGCACTTTTGTTGGCAGGGGGATGCCTCTGCTTTTTAGTGTGCTGTCTAGATTTGCCATAGCTTTCCTCCCCAGGAGCAAGCCTCTTTTAATTTCTTGGCTGCAGTCCCCATCTGCTGTGATCTTGGAGCCCAGGAAAATAAAATCTGTCACTACTTCCATTTCTTCCCCTTCTATTTGCCAGGAATTGAGAGGGCCAATGCCATGATCTTAGTTTTCTTAATGTTGAGTTTCAAGCCAACTTTTGCACTCTCCTTCTTCACCCTCATCAAGAAGCTCTTTAGTTCTTCTTCACTTTCTGCTATTAGAGTGGTATCATCTGCATATCTGAGGTTGTTGATATTTCTCCCGGCAATCTTCATTCCAACTTTTGATTCATCTAGCCCTGCCTTTCTCATGATGTGCTCTGCATATAAATAGGCAGGGCAACAGTATACAGCCGGATGCTGGACACCTTTCCCAATTTTGAACCAATCAGTAGTTCCGTGTCCAATTCTCACTGTTGCTTCTTGACCCTCATATTAGAGACCTATATGAGTTTAGTAGTTTGCGTATCTAATAAAGGTGATGATCCATCTAGCTGTACCAATCAGCCTTTGGCTTAGAGAAGCTATTCTGTGTAACATTTTACTAATGCAAGGTTAGTTGTTTTTCAGCCATTCAGTCCCACCCAAGTCACATAACTGGCCAAACAACACTTCTGTATCACCTACTTAGGTGAATTGCAATTTAATAGGTTTGTATGATATGCTAAGCTATAATCAGAGTTACAAACATTGATTCAGGAATGCAACACAGAAACCAGAGGTGGTATTCAGCAGATTCTGACCAGTTCTGGAGAATCGGTAGCGGAAATTTTGAGTAGTTCGGAGAACCGGCAAATACCACCTCTGGCTGGCCCCGCCCCCATCTCTGCCTCCCATTGAGTCCCAGCTGATCGGCTGGCTCTTCTTTGGTTGCCCTGCACAGGAGAACAGAACTGGAAAGCAGGTTAGTGGGGTGCAGAGGTGGGTATTCAGCAGGTTCTGACCAGTTCTGGCGGAAATTTTGAGTAGTTAGGAGAACTGGCAAATGCCACCTCTGACTGGAGATTTTACAGTATCCTTCCCCTGCCATGCCCACCAAGCCACGCCCACAGAACCAGTAGTAAAAAAACCTGAATCCCACCACTGACAGAAACCTATCAATCATGCTGCTCTCATACATACTTTCTATTTCAGAGAGGGGGAGGCACGTTTTCAGTAAATTATATCTTCCGGTCAAAGCTTTATCCCATCCCTAGTTTAATAAAAGGTATGAACTCAGATGCTGCCTTATCTTTATGCGCTTTGCAAAGAACACCAGCATTTTTCAAAAGCGTTAGATGACAAGTCTCTACAATCTTGAGATTACTCTCACAGGTTTCTACAGGACAGTCATTTTATTATAAAACAGTATATTTATATACAAGTATATTTATTGGGTTACCATGTGGTATGCAAAGTTGGAGATGGAATAACCTACATTTCTTTTTCCTGTAGACGCGGATGATCCAACTAGCGTCAAGGCTGCCGCAGCTAAAGTCACAGAATGTGTAAAAGGGGCAGGATTGAACCTCCTGATTAATAATGCAGGAATTGTAAATAGCAGCAGCTTGGAGACTGAAACACCCGAGAGCATGGCTGAGACCTACAGAACCAATGTGATTGGGCCCATGATAGTTGTCCAGGTAAGGAAACTTTCTGGCCCTTTTCTCTTGGAGTAGAAAGAATATTTAGATGCAGGCATTCCATACAACACGTTTTGGCTTGTTTGCATTTTTTTTTTCTGGATTAAGGAATTCCAGGCTGATGCTGAACTTGGTCCAAGGAATTCCCTAAGGAACTTTGGTCTGCTCCCTCCCTCTCTGCCCAACTGTCCCCCACCCCCATTCATGGTTTTAAGAATGAATCCTGAACTCCTTGAAGAATAGCATATCAGGATCTGAATAGAAATTTTGCCCAATAGGTGCTTAGACTATGATAGACTATGGATATAAGATGGAAAAATTGTGTTGATTGAAAGAGGGATGTTGTGGATTCCATTTGGTTAGACTAAAGGACTATTGTGACATCTTCCAGTAAGTTATTGGCAAATCTTTGGGTTTTTTTGGGGGGGGGGGATTTTTCTTGATTGGGAGATGTCCCAACTCTCCTACCACAAAGAAGAGGGGGTCAAATTATTCTCCAAAGCCCCAGAGGGCAGGACAAGAAACAATGGTTGGAAACTGATCAAAGAGACAAGCAACCTGCAATTAAGGAGAAACTTCCTTAACAGTAAGGACAATCAACCAGTGGAACAAAGTTGCCTTCAGAAGTTGTGGGTGCTCCAACACTGGAGGTTTTCAAGAAGAGGCTGGACAGTCACTTGTTTGAGATTGTACAGATACTCCTGCTTGAGCAGGGGCTGGACTAGAAGACCATGATAAACCATGATGATCCAAACTCTGCCAAGGACCTTGGAGTACTCATCTCAAATGATCTAACTGCTAGAGCCCACTGTAACTACATAGCCAAAAAGGCATTAAGAGTTGTTAACCTAATCTTACGTAGCTTTTTCTCTGGTAATATTACACTACTAACTAGAGCATACAAAACATTTGCTAGACCAATACTTGAATACAGCTCATCAGTCTGGAACCCGCATTACGTATCTGATATTAACACAGTTGAGAAAGTCCAGAAATATTTCACAAGAAGAGTTCTCCACTCCTCTACTCATTGCAGAATACCTTATGCCACCAGACTTGAAATTCTGGACCTAGAAAACCTAGAACTATGCCGTCTTCGGTCCGATCTAAGTATGGTATATAAAATCATACATTGCAATGTCCTACCTGTCAATGAATACTTCAGCTTCAACCATAATACAAGAGCACACAGTAGATGCAAACTCAAGGTAAACCGCACCAAACTTGACTTCAGGAAATACGACTTCAGCAAAATAGTGGTCAATGTTTGGAATACTCTACCTGACTCTGTGGTTTCTTCCCAAAACCCCAAAAACTTTAACCTTAGACTGTCTACTATTGACCTCAACCCTTTCCTAAGAGGTCTGTAGGGGGCGTGCATAAGCGCACCAACGTGCCTACCGTCCCTGTCCCATTGTTTCTTTTATTTTTCTTATATGTATCCATTTCATGTATTCATAACTATGTTTATACTTCTACCTATTATCTTGTAAGCGATTGACACATCAAATAAATCAAATCAAATCAAACCTCCAAGGCTCTATTCTGTTCTATTCCTATTGCTTACAGAAGATTTGACTGCCCTTCATTTGTTCCTTTCATTCTCCAGGTGTTCATTCCTTTGCTGAGAAAAGCAGCTCACGAAAGTCCGTTGAAAGGCATGAGCTGCAGTAAAGCAGCCATCGTCAACATTTCCAGTGAAGGAGGTTCCATCACAAGTGTCCTTGAATGGCAGCGGGGCCACATCATTGCTTATCGCTGTAGTAAGGTACAGATGAACCCATGATCTGAGAATGTAAGGGTCAATTCTGTTGTTATCCCAAGTAGGAGAAGAGCACATTTGAATGGTCTGGCATCCATGAGAACTTAGATGAAGGATTCCTTCATTTTCTTCTTCTCTCTCTCTCCCTCACAGTCTGCTCTGAATATGCTCTCCAAATGCCAGTCCTTGCATCTTGCCAAAGATGAGATCTTGTGCGTTGCGTTGCATCCTGGATGGGTACAGACTGACATGGGAAATGTAATGGTAAGCAGATTGGAGGGGGGGGGGAAACACCTAAATTTTATACAGTGGAAATAAACATGGACCAAATGATCTGTACTAGAAATGGAGTGTTTTTTAAAAAAAGAAAGCACCTCCAGACCATGCTGAATTTATTCATGGATCTTGCCATTCTAGGGATGGTCCAACAGTTTTTCTAAACCAGCGGCTGCTCTTTTTATATAAAAAATTCAATATTTACATACATGGTGTGTTGTGAGTTAATTTTGTGAGTTTGCTTGCAAGCAAATTTTATGTGACAGACTGAGCTAGCTGATGGCAACGATAGCTATCTGAATGAATCTATGACTCTGTGAGCAGCTCAATCTGCCTGACTGCTTTGCCTGATTTTGGGTAAAAGTTGCTCTTTTTTTATAAAAAAATCAATATTTATACAAATATTTATATTTAAATACAAGCCATGCCCAGCCAGTCACATGACCACCAAGCCAGACCCACAAATTAGGCCATGCCCACAGAACCGGTTAGTGGTCCCTGGGATTTAAAATTATGAGTTTGGTGGTCCCTGGGGTCCAAAAGGTTGGCGACCCCTGCTCTAAACAATTTCAGGAAGTAGTGCTTGGGTTTTTCTTGACATAGTCTCATCTTAAATCAGGCTGTGTCTGAAATAATATGTACCAAATACCATGAAACTCTTTCCCCTTGATAGATTCAAATTCTAGAAACAGCCAGATGGCCCCTGGAATCCTGTGGTCCCACAAGTGGTTTCAATCTGGTCCTGAAGGAATCTGAATGTGATCACCAGAATATTATATTTCGGGCTCAATTTTTCTACATCACTATCAGTTAATTTATGTTAGCTGCTACTGAGTAGGGTTTTTAAAATTACAGTGTTACCTTGGTACTCATCTTTAATTGGTTCCAGGAGGCATGATGAGTACTGAACAAATTTTTTCCATAAGGAATAATGTTGCCAACATCAACAAGTTCAAGTTTGTGCATTGAGTGCCAAATAATGAGTCCTGGGACAACATTTTTGTATCAAAATACATTGGGTATCAAATTCAATCAATTTCAAACAAGTTGGATACCAGGGTAACACTGTATTCAGTGTAGAAAGAATATATCATTCCTGTCAGAAAATGGGTAGAAACCTAAAGTTTCTGCTTAATGGAACATACTGGACCAAAAATTAGTCATGTGAAATTGAGGCTCTTCAATTCTATAAACTTCCACTGGTTCTTTATGATGCAGTGACCAATTCCTTCAAAACGGGTCAGTTTATTTATTTATTAAATTTATATGCCGCCCTCTCACTGGTAAGGCAACAAAATTAGGTCATGAGTAGTTCTGTTAATTTTGAGGATGATGTAAAAGCGTATCTGTTCAATAATTTTGTGATAAATTTTGAATAATTAAACATGGCCTCTCCTTTCCAAAACCTAGTCTGATTCCATTTCAGCAAAACTTGTTCTTTGATATAATTTCTTGTCTAATAACATTTTCTTGCTGATATACCATATTAAACTATTGCCTTGAATTCTCAGTCGATGTTATTAGGCCTTTAAGCTGTTTTCACTATCATCTTCTTTCATTTCTTGTTTTTTTTTCCCAGGGAAAACCCCCAATGACAAAGGAGCAGAGTTTGCGAGCTATTTTGAACACCCTTGGCCATCTCTCTGAGAAAAATACTGGCACATTTGTCAACTGGGAAGGGAATCTTGTTCCCTGGTGAGACAACCAAGGTTTTGCTTCTCTGCACTGAAAGGCAAAGTTCTCATCAAAGACAATGCAGATTTCTATCTTTAGTGCTTGTTATATCCTGCTCTGCTGCATGTGCTCCAACTCTCCTTTGCTTCAGATAATCTGTCTGGTGCCCATCAAACGTTGCCGATCAGCCAGGCTCTTTCAAACTGCAGGTCCCTGTGATTCGTCTGAATATGTCCAGGTGTCACTGGCAGCGGTTGCAAAGCAGCCATTTTGTATTGGAAAATTTTATTTCCAGATCTCTAGAATCTAAAGCATACATTTAAGAGATGCATACATTCAAGAGGATGATCTTTTCCCCCAATTCCACATCTGGCAACGCGAGTCTAGATGTGGGCTGTACCTCTCTTGCAAAAAGGCCATCTGGAACATTTTATACTTCCAATATGTTAATCTACTTTTTAAAGACTGTTATGCACGAAATAAAACTGATTAAAAACATTGACAAGATTTTTAATTTGGTTAATTTTTAGTTTTGTGATATAATGATAAATTGTCAATTCATTAGGAGTATTGGCCAAGGAAGGCAGCAACCAACCAACCAGTGGTGGTCTTGAACTTTGAGATAGTCACAAGGGATTTGTTGGGGGTCCCCATAAAAAGACTTATAGATGTATAACTGATGACCTATGAATTCTGATGAATCTGATTCTTTTCTCAATTTCCTCAATTCATTGCATAGATGAAAGGAAAAAATAAAAAAACCCGTTCTCCTCTTGAATAAAGAAGCCAATTGCTCTACTTCTTCCCCAGAAGAAGCTAGCTAGAGTCAGTGGAGACATCGCTTCATCTTGATAATGAACTTTATAATGCTATGGTAAGGCCAAACTTGGAATACTGCATTCAGTTTTGGTCGCCACGATGTAAAAAAAATGTTGAGACTCTAGAAAGAGTGCAGAGAAGAGCAACAAAGATGATTAGGGGACTGGAGGCAGAAACCTATGAAGAATGGTTGCAGGAACTGGGTATGTCTAGTTTAATTAAAAGAAGGACTAGGAAAGACATGACAGCAGTGTTCCAATATCTCAGGGGCTGCCCCAAAGAAGAGGGAGTCAAGCTATTCTCCAAACCACCTGAAGGCAGGACAAGAAGCAACGGGTGGAAACTAATCAAGGAGAGAAGCAACTTAGAACTAAGGAGAAATTTCCTGAAAGTTAAAACAATTAATCAGTGGAACAACTTGCCTCCAGAAGTTGTGACTGCTCCAACACTGGAAGTTTTTAAAAAGATGTTGGATAATCATTTGTCAGGAGTGGTGTAAGGTTTCCTGCCTAGGTAGGGGGTTGGACTAGAAGACCTCCAAGGTCCCTTCCAACTCTGTTATTCTATTCTATTCTATTGATTGGGAATCCCATTTTCTTTAAGTGAACGAGCTTCAATTGACTTTTATCAGATGTTTTGGCAATATTGCTGAGCCTGAAGTTTATGCCTCATGCGTTTTATCAGGATGGCACAGATAAAAACATGAAGTCTGATGAAATTACATTTAATAAATTAAATTATTAATGATATCCCTGAGGCTGAGGCTGCAAAACTAAATACTGGATATCTGGCTCAATTTTTGTAAGGAACAAACGAAGGTCTCCTCTTTCGGAAATATTCAGGCGGTTTCTTTCTTTGGTCATAACATGATTAACAGCACTAAAGCCTGATTCCACAAGATTAGACTGTCTACTATTGACCTCACCCCTTTCCTAAGAGGTCTGTAGGGGGCGTGCATAAGCGCACTAACGTGCCTACCGTCCCTGTCCTATTGTTTCTCTTATTCTTTTATTTTTCTTATATGTACCCATTTCATGTATTCACAACTATGTATACACTTATACTTATTATCTTGTAAACAATTGGCAAATCAAATAAATAAATAAAAATAAAGATATGAGGTAGGGAAAGGTATCAATAAACTGAATATCATTTTCCACATATTTTTTATATAAGACTGGCATTTTTTTTTATTTTGCCATAGGTTTTCATATCCACCACTATCGAATTTATGTTTACTTTCTTCATCATATCTAATTTCTAACAGTTCTTGGCAAGTTGTATCAACCTCTTCAATATTTGTGGTAAAAGGATTTTTAATCCAGTCATACATCTTCAATTTCAAAATATCTTCAAATCGTTTTTCCATGTCCAATTTAAGTTCATTGGGGTGGCTACTGAATCTGTCAGTATCCTCTGGAGTTATACCATCTTTTATAGATGATAATTCAGGAAACTGATGAAATTCTCTCTTCAATAGATTATAACGAAGTAGTTCAAGTTTGTCAATAAATAATGACACAATACTCTGGCAACCTATAAGAGTTTTATTAGCTCCTTGAAGCTGCAAATTGACGTCATTAAATCCCTTGAAAATATCTGCCAAATAAAAGGCATCATTCTTTACTGTTTTTAACTGTTAACACAGATTGGTCTCATTGTTACTTTCAAAAAATTGTATGACACTATCATATAATGTTACAAAACGAGCCAAAGATTTGACAGCCACCGAACTTCTGTGTGCAAAAGTAATGTAATAAAATCTTTATTATTGTCCTGGCAAAGCTGTCAAAACATTCTATCATTTTTTACATTTGATCTGATCTTGTTTATGGCTTGAATTATTATAGTTAATGATGAATGGAGACTTGTACTTAGATGTTTTCCTACAAGATGCTGTCTGTGCACCACACAATGAATACATAAAATATTTGGCACTTCTTCCTTCAAATAAGCAAGAAATCCACGATAGCGACCTACCATTGATGGTGCTCCATCAGTAGCTCATGCAACAATATTATTCAATGGAATATTTGTAAAGTATGATTTCACAGTATTAAATATAGATAATCTTCTTGTATCTGTAATGAGATATATTGCGAATAGCATTTCTTCTCGTAATGTATTGTTTTCATCAAAATAATGTACATATACCATCAATAAAGCATTATTATCTGCAATGGTAGACTCATCCAATTGCATGGAAAATGAAGAGTTTTGGAGAATACTTATAAGTTTTTTTCAACATTAACTGCCATTTCTTCAATTTGTCGCTTTACTGTACTATTGCTTAGGGGCAACATTTTTAAAATTTCAGGTACATCCTGATGCATTACTGTTGAGATAAATTCTTTTATAGAGGGTATTATTACAGTTTCTCCAATTTTATAGCTTTTACCACTTTTTGCAATTAATTGTGAAATGAGATAAGTGGCAATTAATCCATCTTCGTTTGCTGCATGTTGTTTCTTAAATGATGCAAGAATTGTTGAACAATTTTGAATTTTTTTATATATTTCCTGAAAATATTCAATGGGCTTGTCCGTATCATTTGGATGCTTTGTAGAAAGATGTTCTCGCAATCAATTTGGCTTCATTGCCTCATTGGATAATGTTTTATGACACAATAAACACATTGGATGTTGTTTATTTACAACAGATTCTATGAAACCCATCTTCAGATACTCTGGCAAATAGCCATGAGTGTATTTCTTTTTTTGAGACATGGGCCCACAATATTTCACAATATTTTGTTTGAAGCTGTAGGCACGTACTCACTCTCACAAATCTAACTGCGTACCGACAGTGCGACCGCAAACAAAAGAGCCTGCGCCATGTATCGTCGTCTGTGCATGCTTCTCACGCATTGTGGATTGGGTTTGGGGTGGGGGAGATGTAGAAGCTATTCTGGGACGAGGCTCTTTTGTTTGCGGTCACGCTATAGCTCCATTTAGTTTCACTTACGTAACGTGAACTAAACTTATGCGTGGGTGATACAAATAGTATATTTTCAGAAATTTAAATTGTCATGGGGAATTTTATGAAAACCTAATGAAAATGTTTTTAAATAATGCTATGATTTTTTTTTTTTAAAGTCAATTAAATTAAAAAAAAGGAAAGTGCTTCAGTATCGGACAAAATCCCTACCGCCCACCATGAAAGCTGGAACGCCCACTAGTGGGCAGTAGGGACCAGGTTGACTATCACTGGTGTAAGCTTATACCATACTCACAATATCAGATACGCCCTTCCAAATCTGAATACACAGTTGGTTTTAGCTCTACGTGTCTATGCTGCTCTGAATGAATAGATATGTTTGAGTTGATCTTCCATCCTTTCAGCTTCTAGAAATACAGATGAAAAGAGGTGAATCAAGAATCACTTTGGGATAGGCCAAGGGAACTTAAGATACTGTAGTAACAACAATAACAACAACAACAACAACAACAATAATAATAATAATAATAATAATAATAATAATAATAATAATAATAATAATAATAATAATAATAATAA